CAGGGAATGCTATATAAATTACTGAACGGTTCAATATTTTTAAATCGTACCTTCCCGGACCACAATCGCAACTCAACAAGCATCCCTTTCATCCCACCTCCAGCGTAGTACTGTTGTTACCGATCGGGTCCGATTGGGCTAGAACCTTATTACCAATCAGCCTTATAGCACTAGCACTTGAGTGTTTTTCCCACCGGGCAGCGCAGAACAATACTTTGGCTTACTGGCAAGAGTTCTATCTCTTCAGATTTTGCAGAAATTCAGGAGAAGTCTTGCTATTCACCGTTGAAAAAGGTCAATTTGTGAAGATTTGGCAAGTGATTGGAACAAATTAGGTCAGCACCCGCCAAAAGATTATGTAATAACTTTCTAGCCCGATCGGACCCCAACGGTAAGCAACAGACTTCAACAAACCGAGGTATGAGGTAGGAAATTGTTGTAGCGTCTGTCTAGGAGAGACTACCTCCAGCGAAATATCAGAGATGCAAAACGATCAGGAAAAAAAAATGCGGAGGTCGTACCCAATGTCCAATGGCGTGTAGTTAGACAGGGAACATCTATTATAATAATCTTGATTGACGCCGAAACCGTTGATGTCTGATGATCTTCCTTCGCAGAAATTGGAATAATATTTCCCACTTGGCATGCAAACTGAATAAAGAAGCTCAGAGACGGCAGTGTGATCGGACATGAGTCCAAGGGACAAAGATGATGAGAGTGAGAGACAAGTGAGAGAACGGAAACGAGGTATAAAAACGGTTGCACTCCTACCCCAACAGCGGTGGTACTTCCATGCTTTCACGCCTTCCTGACGCTACATAGCTGTTCTGTAAATTCATGGAAGCGGAGCGCTGACTCGGACGTGGGAAGAAAGGAACACGAAGTTTCATTACTACACAGCACGACCACGCCTGAGGCGGAATTTAATAGACAGGCGGGGTGCGTCCTTATTAAGGGCTTGAGTTAAAGTTAGGTTTGTTTCGTATCAAAAGCATCTAACAGCGGCGGATATCGGCATTATTCCATCATCACTCGCAGGAGGGTTGGTGCCGATGCATGGAAGCTGCGGTTAGGTTTACAAAGAGAATTCCGAAGCTCTCTTCGAGGCCAGGTGGATAAGGCGTTGTCTTCCCCGCACCGAAGAGAGGCAATTTGACATATTAAGCAGATACTAGCCATGTATAAAACTCTGCCTGCGGAGCTGTCTTGATAAAATTAAGATTTTAATATTGTTCGATTCCGCATCTAACCAGTGGCGTGCGGGGCGGATGCTTGTAGCTGCTGCCGCCACTAGGCACAATTTGAACGCTGCAACGGGCACCTTTATCACTCCTGTGAAGAATAGCAGTAATTCCTCGAATCAGATATAATAAGGACTTAGTAATTCAATGAGAGGAGAAAGGGAGCTTACGCAGAGAGGCCTCGAAAAGCTGGCTAAGAATCACGACAGCCTCGCAAAATTTACCGTTGAAAACATCGAGCAAGACAACAGATCGCCATAAAACCCAAGTCTGACGCGGGCAGAACGCGGGTAGAGATTTGGTATACGTAGAGATGCGTAGTCACGTCAGTCACATTTGCCGTTCAAAACTTTTGCCGATGTGACGCGGTGCTTTCCTTTGTCTCCCACCATCACGCCGACGATTTTTTCTCCATCGACGTGAACTATGCAAAGACGAGGTTTGCCCTTGCACTTGGGTTCACTAACTGAATTAATGTCTCCTTTTGTTAAATGAAAGTCACAAAACGGCGCAAAGCGACTGAGTCAACGGTCAGTGCGGCGGATGCAGCACCTACACCAGCAGAGAACACCTTGGAAGGAATGCCGCTAGACATAATTCACCTGGTACGCCTTTCTGAAAGTGTATAGTGCCACCTGATGCGTCACCACTAGTTTTTATTATCCATGACCCCTTCGGAGCTCTTGGCCATGCGCAACGTCAACAAAGCCTTCCGCAGCCTGCTCTCGGAGGGAAATGGGATCACGATTTGGGCCAAGTCCAGGGATTACCACGGTATCCCGAAGCCTTTTGAAGGATTTACGGAGCGCACTTGGGCGTACTTTATCTTCAGCAGAATCTGCGAGGTACGTCTGGTATCGCTCAAGGCGACCAACTTAGCTTACAGATGCAACTAGAACTGTGGCAAAAAAGATAGAACATGTGTGCCTGATTTTAACTTGATGATGTGCTTATGCGCCGAGTGCCGCAAAGAAAAGTGAGTGATATTACTGGTTCTCTGTTGCTGTTACTCAGGCATCAGCCAGTCTGGACGAAGTCCTTGAATGGGACGAGGAGTACTCGGAAGAGTGCGACGTTGAAGACTTTGACATTGGTCCTGACGACACTTTCCCTCATTCCAACTGGCGTGCGTACTCCAGGGGCCTATTTTATTTCGATGTGATACACTGACGAGGACTAGACGAATCGAGAGACGAGCTCAAGCACGCAACAATGCAAAGGCAGTACTGGTGGACTCCATACTTCTACGGAACTATACTCCCCCTCGTCAGGGACGTGAAGCGTGGGAAGAAGGGAGCAGAAGAGGAGCTCAATGAGCTGGAGGAAAAAGGGCAGCGAAGGTTCGAGGTATGGTTTGAACTGCACACTTTGATCTCAATGCTCACAAGATCTAGCACGCTCTCATATGCAATAAGTGGAGAGATGAAGCGGAAGCGGAAGATCGTCGCGCAAAAATAGAGATGTGATACATCCTGCTTTGTGAAGTGCACTCTATAGCGCACTGATGGCTCCACCAGATTGACCCTCAAGTTCAAAGCTCTTGGATACCAGGATTTCGAGCTCAGCGAACTCAACAACTATAAAATCCTCGATGAGTTTAACCTCCCTTTAACAGAGCACAGTACGTGCCGCGCCGTTCGTTATTGAGAAGAGTTGACCTTGTATTCAAACAGCCTGGGAGGTTATGCGCGGGTCTTTCGAAAGCTCCATCCGAGACAAGCGCCGCAAGCGTCTGTTGGACGATCATCCAGATATCGTTAACGGTCGGCGGGCCCTGGCGCGGGAGGCATACCTAGCCTATGCGTCGACCGTCACGCCTATCGAGACGACGTACTTGCCCACCATCGCAGATTTTGACGCCATGTGCGAAGTCAGGGCCATCTGCGAGCGCGAACCTGACGTAGACGTGACAAGCGCAGACTTCGCCGGAATCCCAGCCCTTCTCGCGATGTGGGTCACCAACAAACGTACCAGGCTAACGGAGCTTGCAGACAACGCCGCGCCTGGCAAACCTGGGCGTTTCAGTCTCGCCTCGACGATCTTCCGATGCAAAGTCGAGCACGAAGTGCTCGGAAGGCCTGCTATGTTCGGCGGTGATGACGCCATGAGGCATGTCGGGGATTTGTGCGATCCACAAGTTGACATGGAGCTCTCAAATATCGCAGCGAAGCTGGTCGTTTCACTTGGTTTGGACGCGGATGTTACGACGGTGGCCGAGATGGATCGCCACGTCGCGCGGGTCCGCTGCGACGGACGAACCTTCCACAGTGTGCCGTGCACGACTAAGAAGACTACCTATGTGTTCACCTGGCGCGGATGTGTCCGTCTCTCCCTCTCCGATGTCTCTCCCCACTAATCTCGCGTGATTATCTTTAGGTCACCCATGCCATTGAAGCTCATCTATGCGGAAATGGAACAGTGCGTTCTTGGCGGGAACGGGACCTCAGCAGCGCCGATTTCGTCAGGGTGTCAGATCGTGTAGGAGAGCAGGCTAGAGGACCGTCCAACGATTTCCCGCATGAAGGATCGGCTTCGTGGGTCTGCGGCAAGTGTACGAATTACGCGGGCGAGCCACAAACGCTCCAAAAAGTCACCGAGCACATAAACGCTGCGTAAGCCGCTCGCCTACCTCCTTTGCGATGTTGACTTATCTCACCTCAGGCACGGAAAGACTCCGCACGATGCCGACACAATCCTCCTGGCTCCCGGAATGTTTTCCATTAGCAGGAGCCTGCGCTACACCGGCCCCCGCGAGACTGCATCTGCGGCCAAATCGAGAGAGTCGAAGCCTCAAGGCACCAATAAGCTCGCCGGAAAGTTCCGCTGCCTCAAATGCAAAACCGCAAAAACGCGGGGCTTCGGTGATATTACTGCCGTGAACAACCATCTGCGCGAAAAGTACGCTTGTTTTGTTTCCAATTCATGCCCCAGTGATTTTATTTATTTCTTGTTCTGTAGACACAAGGTTCTCAAACCTGTGCGCGATGTCGATTATGGCTTCGACGGTGTATGGCCGATTGCGCCCGTACGGCCTCCGCCTCCCAATGCAGGCACAGATACGCGTGAAGTTGCATTGCTTTATTCTTGATGCTTCCGACATCCTATAAACCAGGTCCTTCCAACCAACCGTGCCCCCATGTACACATATGTGGCTCCTTTACTCTTGACTCCAAGTACCTTCATTTACCAGTACCTTAGTGGTGATCGTGAATATTCTTGCAATCGAATACCATTCGTGTTTCAGTGCATCTATAATCCCCGACATGGAAAGCCAACGCCTGCAGAATGTCTCAGACCGGCCGTTTGCGAGCTGCAGTTACGAGGCGGGGAGTGCTAGCTTTTCTGGATCATTCGTAAGCGGGGAGTTGAACCCCAATCTGCAGCTGAGTTGAATGGCCTTTCGCTATTGTGCAGACCAAGTACTGGCGTACCCAGTACACCACACCCGAGTTGAGGGTTTAGTTTGGACCTGGGATACGTCGGTACGCTCATATGCGAGTAAGGAAGCAGGGTGAAAAAGGTTCGGACCTGTGATACATGTACGTCGGTGCGATTATGTAGGGAAGCAGGATTCAGATGAAAAGAATTTGATCCAAACATATCATGATTCTACAATAAATTTGGATGACTGCATGGAGTTGCGGAGTTTACAGTGAGCGCGACTGTATATCAAGTCGCAGCACCCGCAATTCATCTGGAGGAAAACGAATCCAACAGCAGCAGGAAGCAAGCGAAAAAAGGCTTTGATCTAACGCCTGATTCGAGTGCGGGGAGTCGAACCCCGACCTACAGCACTACTGTTTCAGACCACTACCTAACATGAAGCTGCCGTGCACCATGCACCACACCCGAATTGTGAGTATAGAGTTGGCCTCCGCTGTCTGTGCGCTTAGCAGCGGGAATGAGTGCGTTCAGTGGAGAGGAAAGGAAATTTGACTTGCACAAAGATATCCTGGGGTTGCAAGTCCCAGTGAGCGTGACTGTATATCAAGTCGCAGTACCCACAATTCATCTGGAGGAAAACGAATCCAACAGCAGCAGGAAGCAAGCAAACAAACAAAAAAGTTACATGTCACTACCTTATTTGGGTGTGGGGAGTCGAACCCCGATCTGCAGTTGAGTTGGATGGATTCGTCGGCACACTAAATGCTGCCGTGCACCGTGCACCACACCCGAGGTAAGGGTGTACTACAATCCCTCAATATGCGGCAACTGAAATGTATAGGAAATCATTGGCATGTGAATATTGCGGTGCAAATTTACCTTCGCCCATTGTTGAAGCGCGAAGAGCCTATGACCTCAAAGAAAAAGTTTGATTGAACCCCTAATATAATAAAAATAGCACCTGCCCACCAAATGACGGGAGCAAGAACATGAAAGGAAAAATAATACGATCCAACAACACCATTCGGGTGCGGGGAGTCGAACCCCGGTCTGCAGCCTGCAATCGGTAACACGCTTCCCTCTAGATAGCGCTTGCTGTGCGCCGTGCACCACACCCGAGATGGGAGTACAATCGGATTCCTTGATATATATCAGAATTTCAGAATCTCAGGTGGAGCGGAAGGAAGGGTTGTTATTGCGGTCAAAGTGCACATTTAATCAGCCGCAAATATATTTCACATGCCGCAAATATATTACGTGTTTTGATACCAATGCCGCAAGTATTTGACCCCTTCGGTATCTCCGAAATACTTGCGGCATGAGTCGAAATGCCGCAAGTATTTTTCGAGGTCCCGCAACTTTTTTTCTCGGAGTGCCGCAACTTTTTGGTGCAAAAATGAGACTGATTTCGAAACATGCCAGGACCTCTCATATTGCCGTTTCCGGTTCTCTGTGCAATGTTACACCAAGTTTGAAGCTTGAACTATGGTTGGTGGGGTCAACGAAGGTATGTCTCCTCCTTCACCATCTTCAAATATCCTCTAACTTCCTCCCTTGGCTCCTTGTCTGTTCAACCCGAACACGGCCACATATGTAGGTATGTGTGCATGCTTCGGCTTATTGTCGTGTCTTGAAATGACTCAATATCTCTTGTACAGACCAGCTTCTATGTCTGAGCCAAGCCCAGGGACTGGCGAGTTCAGGCTCGATTTAATTTCAGTGCCAGGTACACACATCATATTCACTTCATGTTGTTTCAAGTAAGTACTGACACTGGTTTATTGTTACTACAGCTATATCAGTAAGTCTCATTGTATCGTGGCCTTCAACTGTTGTATCGATTTTTAATCGGTAAATCTTTGATCATCGCGCCGTCATCAAGTTTGTACTTCACCGTCATATTTCAACTTCCAACACTGCATCTCCCTCCCGGCACACTGTCTTAGGATAGACACTGTCTTACATCCGGAGGTATGCAATCCGCTTCATGTCGCCCTGCCCCCACCATACTGACCCCATCTGCGTGACTATTAGGGTGATGATTGTCTGTTGAGTTCAAGTTCATGCAGATTGAATCATGGTTCGATAAAGGTCCCTCACATCTCCTCCAAATTCAATCTTGAATCAGCTCAATGGCTTCAATTTGAAGACTGCGGTGGATCTCTATCTGCTCCAGACCTTTATTCAGTTCAATTCGTGTGGATCAGTATGCTACAGGTATCCGCACGCGAACTGTAACTGCTCGCTGTGTAAATCAGGGTTCCTTTGTTGCTCCGAAGCCTTGAACTATTTGGTTCGTTATATTCACTTTGAAGGGTTGATTGACTAATCTAAACTACACTTCCCGTTCGACGGCATGAGGAACTCTACACTCCTTCACACTTGAATTTTTAATGTGTCATTGCCACAACTTGACGTGATTGTCTGCGACGGGGGTCTGTAAGCAATGCTGTCTGCGACGCGGAGACTGGCCGACATGACACCGATATATAAGCACTCATGGCTCAAGTAAATTGAATTGGCACAATTGATTCTATTCATGAGCCCACCAATCTACAACTGACGCTTGCGAGTCCGCTGATTCTACGCGATTTAGCTACGTGCCAATCTCGACTCTGCTGGATTCACGCTGAGCGCGTGTCCGCAGGCCAGGGCGAGTTCACCCTCGTGTGGGATACAGACGTGTCGTCGAAATTGGTTGAGGTACTGGCGGCCTGGCCGGGAGTCAGGACTTTATGGGTTGACGGGATGCAATGGCTCAGTGCGTGTCCAGACATGATAGAGGCCGTGCCACCGTGGTCCACCATTCAACGTTCAAACTTGAACGTAACCTCAGGGAGAGCCGATAACACCGATACCGGTAATTTGAGGGGCCCTAGCAGATCTCGAAATCAGTCTCATTTTTGCACCAAAAAGTTGCGGCACTCCGAGAAAAAAAGTTGCGGGACCTCGAAAAATACTTGCGGCATTTCGACTCATGCCGCAAGTATTTCGGAGATACCGAAAGGGTCAAATACTTGCGGCATTGGTATCAAAACACGTAATATATTTGCGGCATGTGAAATATATTTGCAGCTGATTAAATGTGCACTTTGACCGCCATAGGTTGTGAATACTTATTGCGGCATAATTTTACCTCCCATGCACTCCATGCTCCCGTTTAATGTAGGAGAGATTAGTCCACGATCTCAGAACAGCTTGATTGAACTCCAGACATAAAAAGAACAGCCGGCCACCAAATGGGAGCATGAACCTGGAAGGAAAAGAATATGAGCCGAAGAAGCAACCATTCGGGTGCGGGGAGTCGAACCCCAGTCTGCAGCTATAACAAGAGATAGCACCATAAAGGGCTGCCGTGCACCATGCACCACACCTGATGTGGGGGTGTAAAGTGGTTCCTTGATACGCTATGTGACTGCCACAATTAAATAAAACAGAGTTGAACAGTAGAATAAATAGTATTGCTGTGAATTTTGCGTCCTGAAGACTGACAAAGGTCAGAACAGGAATTCTGCAGAAACAGCTTGATGCAACCCTGAACACAAATATAACAGCTGAGTTGAAGACGTCTGGAATTTCTTACAACAGCTGCCGGGCGCCGGGCACCACAGCCGATGGCGCGAGTTGAGGGTTTAGTTCGGACCTGTGATACGTAGGTGCGACTAGAGAAGCAGGATGAAAAGATTTCGATCTAAGGATATTAATATTATGATTCCACATTGACAATAAATTTGGATGACTGGTCACTGGAGTCATAGAGTCCGCAGTGAGCGCGATTGTCGGAGTCGCAGGACACGCTGTGGAGTTGGAGGAAAGCGAATTCGATAGCAGCAGGAAGCCAAAAAAAAAAACATAATGAATGGGAATTCGGATTCGGATTCGGGTACGGGGAGTCAAACCCCCGGACTGCAGCTAAGTTTAATACACTTGGTAATGCTTCATTAACTGTTGCCGTGCACCGTGCACCACACCCGAGGTGAGAGTCTGCTGTGCTCCCTTGATATCATAATGCGGCAAATGAAACCTACATACCGGAAAACAGCGTGGGGTGGGAATATTGCGGCACAATTTGAGTTCAATTTCATCTGTCATAAGACCATCCCATCCAGTGTAGGTAGGATCAGGCGGAACAGCCTAGAGTGTCAAAATACCTTGTCAGTGATTGATCCCTGAAAACAAGTTCACGCGGTGTCAGGGGAACCCCTATTTCCGGCCCTTCCGCTCCCGCATCTGGACCTTCCGGTCCCATTCCGACCCGTTCCGGCTCCTCCCGATATCACATGGCCTGTGATTCCGCCTGGGACCTCTGCCGATCACTCCGGTTGCTATCACATGCCCCCCGTCCGTAGTTACTTATATACCGGGATCTGACGCGGGTGATCCTTAGTCTTTCTTCTCTTCGGATCCCCCTCGTCAGGTCTGTCCATTTGTATCTGTAGCTACTCTGTGATATTTATCTTCGGATCCCCCTCGTCAGGACTCTTGAGTATACTCGGGCCTTGAGGTTGCCCTTACAGCAGAAGAAAGACTCTAAGGGATTAACCGGCCAAGATTGCGGGTTACGGTTTAGCAGACTCGGACGACTCCGAAAGTGCTCCGGTCTCCCCGAACCCGAATCTTGTCCCCTCCTCCCCTCGTCTAGATCCCTCCATGTCCGACGCATCCGCGGAAGCCGCCGCCCGGTTGGACCAGATCGAAGCGAGCATCGCATCGCTTGCAAAACTTGTCCAAAACCAACACCCCACTGCTGCTTCGCCTGCCCCGTCCCTTGCCGACCCGGCTCCGGACCTGGGTCCAGGGTTATTTAAAAATGTTGCTCCTGGAGCGAAATCGGTCCTCCGGCCGAACCCCCCGATCGTCTTCGACGGTGACCACAAGAACGGCCGGGCCTTCCTTCACCAGGTCCAGTCCTACGCCCGGTTGCTTCCGGAGGCGTTCACGGAGAACGGGGAACCCTCCGAGGAGAAGGTCGTCCGGTACGCCATGTCTTTTATGGCCACCGGTTCCGCACAGCGTTGGGCCGAGCGTCAGTCCAACAAGACCCCGTTCCTCCTCACGAGCTGGGACGCATTCCTCCGGGAGTTCCGGCTCCGGTTCGTCGAGGAGAACGAACAGGACCATGCGCTGAACAAGCTCGAGGGACGCTCATACCACATGGGCTCCCGGGACGTCTTCCAATACACAGACGACTTCGAGGACCTCGTCGACCTTGCCGGCTTCGAAGACCCCCTCGTCAAGGTCACAAAGTACCGGACGGGCCTCGATCCGGCGATCAACACCGCGATAACCGGATCTTCCGACCCTCCGGACATCCGCGACTACCCCGCCTGGAGGCTTCGTGCCTACCGCCAGTACGAGGCCAAGCTCCGCGCTTCGGAAGCCGCCCTTCCGATGCGCCATGCAACCGTGACGGGTCGTGCCCAGGTGATTCCCATCGCCCCTGTCGTGGTCTCGACCCCCCAGCCGAG